CATTTTTTAGACACTAATCAGAAAATTTAAAACGTCCTGCTTGAGTATATTGGGATGAAATAAACCTTATTTATCACCTCTACAGATAAAGACCATCATCAGCCATCAAATACTATGGAACCCAACATTCCATTGCATGATCTTGAAAGAGCGCATGACCTTAAAGGGGCTACAGACAATCATAGCCAAAGGATAGATCTGCCTGAAAAACCACAGAATAACACTTACGGACAGAGGCTTACGTCGATGATGTATACAACTGATGACCCTTTGTTTGAATACGACTTGAGTAAACACATCCGATATTAAGCGTTGACATTGTTATTCATTTAAATTACAAAATAATCATTCTGTTTGGTGAATTTAAAAAGATATTTTGATTTCAATTTGCACATGGAAAATCTGTGATGTTTAGTTAAAAATTTCATGATTTTCAGAAAAGATGAAAGACATGTAGATAAGATAAGAAATGTTTATTGGTAATATATGATCATTGAACATTGCAAATAATATTATATATATACAAATATTTGTCGGAATTCCCATGGGAACCAATTGCCCCCCCCCCCCCCTTATTAGCAGATCAATCTTTTTATTCATAAGGTTTGTTTGTTTATTGTTTAACGTCCCTCTCGAGAATTTTTCACTCATATGGAGACACCACCACTTGCCGTTGGTGGGCTGCAAATTTATACCTGTACTCGGCACCAAGGGCCATTTAGCAGTGAGGGATCTTTTTTGTGCCAACACCTACTGCGACACGGAACCTCGGTTTATAAGGTCTCATCCGAAGGACCGGTCTCCACGTCCAACAGTGGGATTCGAACCCGCGACGTAAGGATCAGCTCCTTACTTTGCGAGTCCAAAGCAGACGCTCTAAGCACTGCGCCATGCGGGAGAGCAGAATTTATTCAGGGACAAGAGAAAAAAACACTTTCTGTGGCCTTGAACTCGACATTTAGATATATCAGCGACGTAGTATCAATTACCAAAAGTTATATCCATTCATATGTCGACTCGATATATCCCAATGAACTTAAAATTGAAAGATGCATGTACCACAAAGTCTGACTGGCATATCTCTTTCATATTTGGATATTTTTCTAGAAAAAGACGTTAATATTAATCTTACAACAAAACTTTATGATAACTGCGGTGATTTCAATTTTTCTGTCGTCAATTTCCCTTACTTGTGTAGCAGTATACCTCATCACCCGCATATTGGGTTTTCCCAGTGGATTCGATACGGAAGAGCATGCTCTACGTACGAACAATTTCTAAAACGAGACTAGCTATTGAAAAACAAGTCGATGAAACAGGGATATCAACAATCATTGTTTTGCAAGTTCTATGGTCGATACAATGACATTGTCAGTAAGTGTAATCTATCATTAAGTCGAATGCTGCGTGACGTTTTTCATACCAATTGTTAGACCATTTTACACACTGAATTGTTTACGGATTTTTCCGGTTTTTTCGATCATGACAAGAAGCAGACGGCTGATGTTACCGGTCGACAGGGGATGCTCACTCTTCCATGGCACCTGATCCCGTCTCTGATGTTGTAGAGGTCAGTGTTTACTCTGCTGATGATTTGTATTGTTTAAATGGACTTAGGAGCTTTAATCATGTTCGTTATCTCCATATTTAAGTTATAAACAAGTAGTGCAGAAAATATAAGAAAATACATTTGCATATAAAAACACACACATTAAATATATATTTGATTAACTAACTATTTATACTGACATTGCTTTTGTTCTAAATGCCAGTGCTTTTTCAATATATAAAGGTAGTTTATTTAACATATTTAAGATTAAACAGCCTTTCTCTACAAACTTTATCATTCATTGTATATGTTGGAAGTTAAATGCAAGGCAAGAACTTGGTAAGATTTTTTTCTCAGTTCATACAGTATTGGTGACTCCAGTAGAAAATTCAATTCATTTTCAGTGGATTTTTAATTACAAAGCTAACACCGCCTTTCTGGTTTTCTTAGACCCATACGTCTGCCTTCTCCAAAAAAAAGTAGGGCGAGGGGGCGAGAACACCGGAAGGAGAACAAAGTATATCCAAACATGATTAATAATACTCACAGAAAAGCTGCTTGTAAAACAAAACATAAAATGAAAATTTAGCTGCATCAGTAATCTGCTCATTCCAGGATTGGTAAGGACAGTCTATTGACCTTTCTCAAAGGAATATAAAGGGAAAATATCATTATGACCTGGATCATTTTATAAACCAACACATTGCGAAATCCATATTGAAAAAGAATAGATTTGACAAAAGTTGCCCAATTAAAACGTGCATTATTTGCACTTATTGTATATTCATTTCAAAATCACTGGCTAGGAAACATCCAAAGTTCAGTTCTAATAATTTTATACAATATGCTTTAGGCTTAGACTAGATCCTCCAATGAGTACATATAACTCTCAATACACAGTCTGTCTTTTCTTAAGAAAGCTTTTCCCCTGCTCTTTGTCAATAGATTGATCGATTGTACAATATATGTCGTTTTACGTCTCATTCGAGAATTTTTCACTTGTTAAAATACGTCACGATAAATATGAAAAGGACTTCAAATTTAGACCTTTACTCAGCACTCAGGGTAATTGATCACTAAAGGATCTTTATCGTGCCAACGCCTGCTGTGTCACGGGGCCTCGGTTTTTAAAGTCTCATCCGAAGAACTCATAACTTTAATTTCAAAGTGCCGAGCGCTTGGCAAAGAAGGTGGCAGAGGATAGTTTCGGATTAAGTACGGGTCAAAAATTAGAAAAAATAGAGGAACCTAAGGTTTGAATGTATATTATAGGTAATTTTATTGCTGGAATATTTTATGTGTGCATTTGGAGGGAATTGGTGGCCTTGTATATTTTATTGATATATGACACTTTAGTGTCACTACTTCTGTTAATGGGATATGGACGAGAAATACGAAACTAAGATAAAAAATCACTCTTCCGGTATTTCACCAGAAAAGCGGGGTGGGTTCATAGGACGAATTGTAGCTTGAAAACGAGGTGGTTGAGCCATTATCTCTTGCTGTTCAATGGTATGTACAAGTGTCGGTCTGCAATTTGTATGGTAGCTTAGGGCATTAGCACGGGCCTGGAAGCAGTTGCGGATCCGGCGAAATAGTGAAAATAGGCCTAATTTACATGAAATTTTGAGATTGTCCTTGTGCCATTATTAGGGCTCATTGTGTAAGTTGTACATGTTTTATTCCTAAAAGCTTCAAATTCCTCAAGGGACTAGACCATACTATTATTACATGTAGAGAGAATTTAAAATTTTCCAATGCACATTTTAAAAGCAGCTCAGTATTGAGGAAACCGTCAGTCAAACGTTTTGATAGACAAAAAAACTATTCTCTGCCACAGAAACAATTGCTACCTATTTTTTATCGACTTAGGTCAGTCGCGGCTGGGGTTTAAACCCACGGCATTCCAATTACAGAACCAATAAAAAGGAAAAAGATTAACTTTATTTGTCCGTTTCCCTAAGTTTGGTCAGAAAGTCCCCAATCACATATGGGTCCTTTGATCACAAGGTTTCCCCAACGAGTATGACAAATGGCTTCTTTATAACAAACTCTAGTCAGCAGAATTAATTGATTAGGAGCAGGGCTGTTGGTTGGAAATTGGTTTCTCCAGTCTAAACGCTCTATCAAAAGATTAAGATAAAATTCAGCCAGGAATTATTCTGCTTTATGGTAAGAAAAACTAGGCTTTATGTCTCCGTTTCAAAGCTCACGAACTACAATTACTTTGCAAAACCTGTTCAGATTTGTTTTCTGATTTAACAAATATATTAGTAAGGCACAATTCCTATTTTTTAGTAATATGATGGCTCATAATGGTTAAATTATAGGAATGCAAATACTATAATCAACAAATACAATTTTATTTTCATATGATGTATTTTTTTGATCATGTCTCGCCAATTCATTGTTCCCATTGATTCATGGTATTTTCTTGTTTTCGAGATTGCGCACGCATATAACCCCCGAAATTCATTCACCGTTTAATCTTTAAGTTGAAAGTTGCTTTATAAGTCTCAAGAAAAGATTTTTTTCTACAAATTTTAAAAAAATTTGTCCAGTAAGACTTAAAGCTGAACATGACTCGTATATACGCATACGCCATTTTCATTCACCCATATCAGCACTGGTGTATATCCTTTGCATTCGTTACACCTGACTGTTTTATTGTCACAGGTACCGGCGTGACGTGACGATACGTGTTTGTGCTGGTTGCCTTACGTTACATTTGTTTGCAATTTATTGCATTTTTCGGGTATTTGTGTTTGTTTGTATCCTGCACTGTCCTGTGCAATTGTTGTAAGTTTCTTTGGTATCTTTCTTTCCCGTTGGGGAAGAAGCAACCAGTTACTTTTGTCTCCACGAAGTGTTTTACAATAGCTATAAAGCATATATTCGTCTATACAGGTAAAAACTGATTGCACTGAACCGTGACTAAGTGAACGGATATAGGGGTCCTCAAATATAACGACTGAATAAAAGAATATGGCGGAGAAATTCTTTTTACGAACCGTGTTCAGTTTTAATTATTCTAAATTTCTTCCATAAAGACAACCACTGATTTTATTTTGTAAAACGTTGTACATGAGAAGTTATTTATTATCTCTTTTAAATTGACTTAAACTTCTCTATGGAATTCTTCTTTATAATGGTGTTTTCTTTTAATTTAGAAACATGAGTGTATACATTTTATCAATGCAATATTAGAATTGATTTAAACTCCCTTTAAACGAGAAGTGGGCGTGTTTAATAAAAATGTACTAGCAATATCCAAACACAATGTTTATAGTCTTGATTTCAAATCTGCAACAACATCAAATTATATAGGCACTCAAAATAAATATTCACTTTACATAGTTATATTCACCCAAAATATATTACAAAAAAATTTTTTGGGAAATATGAGGAAGAGATAGTCATTTTAAAATATTTCCGCATTTGAAAATGGACGAGCAAAGTATTCAATGTTCTTATCCAGAGTGGTGCTCTAAGTGTGGGGTTTTGAATGTTACTGACATTGAAGGATTAAAAATAAATTCGTCTAAGTGTCTGCATTTTTACCAATTAGACTATCCCCTCGAGATCCATACCCCGTTGGGACTCTGAAAGAAGAGAAAAGGTGCTGCGATCGAAGGAACACTAACAGTTTACTATACCTCGAATTCATCAGGTAGACCGATGATTTTTTATCTCCTCATAAGAATTATGACACAGAAAATATTATTAATTATTGTATATTATCAATATCATTATTATATTGTTCATAGTAATAAATTCTGTTTTTTCTGATATAATCTACATATACACAGATTCGATCAACATAATTTAATTTTTATACACAATCCTATATATGTCACCCTTGCCGTTAAGAATATCTTAGAATTTCTTATTTGTGCTTACAGATTCATATTTACAGAAAATAAGACTGAAACTAGTTTTCTTTTAATGAAAATGAATGTATTTTTCTTCTTCAGAGACACTGCAGGCCAAAGGGTTACACATTCCCTTAAATATTATAGAAAAATTCATAACCAACTCAAGAGAACGAACCTCAACTGAGCTGGTAATACAAGCAATTCCCCCCTCTGTTATAAACGTTTACCATCCCTATTTCCCCCTGATCCTCTCTGCCGCAGTAGGGGGCTGAATTGTGCTGCTTGTCTTTGTCATTTTCCTCTCAGCGAAAATAAGATCACATAAATCCAAACCAGGGTTTGTTTTTTTCTGATTCATGAAAATAATATGAATTTCATTGAAAACAAATGAAAGATTTCCTGTTTTGTGTTTGTATGCTTTTTTCTACTTGTAATCAAAAAAACCCCAGATGTACTTTGTGCAACATTTTTTATTATACAGATTCAGCATGCCAAAAAATGTTCAACTCGATGTTATTCTAAACAATTACAACCCACTTGCAACACCTCACGAAAACACAGAGCCAGAACACATTCAGTCAAACAGGAATTCTTATATTACCTTAAGAGTATTCAATGACCAGAACCAAAGGGTACCTGTCACAGACACTTTAATTCAGGAAAAAACACTACATCGTCACAATAGATCAACTACTCCGGTTCAGAAATTGGATAATATTCCATCATGTGTCCAAACAATTACATCGGAGGAATCAATTTATGTGAATGAAATGGGGCTATTTACGTGAATACGGAGGAAACGGTGTCGTTGAATGATGATGAACCAACGTACATGAATGTAAATGAAGGTTATCTCGATTTAAATGCCATTATTCCTCCTCCTTGCAGATGTGCCTCACCCTCGTTTCCAATTCTCTCTTTACTTTCTCAGAAGACATGGCAAAGGAGAGGCTAGAGTAACAATGACGACTCTACACTTCATTCATATATTGAAATCATTTAAAAACAGCTTTTCTGGAAGGAAAAATTGCTCTAACAGATTTATATTTCACTTTTCTTACCAGTAAAATTAAAATCTTGTTCAAATAATTGAAATGAAACAAATGCAGTGCTCTTTGTTTAGTCACAATGACATTTTCTTATTTTAGCTCTTATATCGTAACGTCTGAGTCAGTGAGGAGAAAAAATCAACTTGTTTTCCCACTAAAATAAGTGTCCGTAATTGCTCAAACTTCCTTCAATAAAGGAATTTTTTCTACTACATATTGTTAACTTTGAATCAGGAAAATTGGAATTAATGTTTAAAGATATAGATAGAAACTAGAGCCGAGCTCGTTGCAAAGCAACGAGTAGGTCTTCCGTTGGAGCTGCAGGCAGGAAGAAGTGACCTTGAGTCAAGGTCATGCCATATCATAAGGTTATAAGCAATCTTGTAAGAGGTATCAACTAACAATGTTTCACTCTGTAGTATAAAGACGATAAAGGAATGTATGTGACCTTGAACTTGTCCAAATGACCTTGCGAAAGCCATGACACACTCTGGTTATGAGCAAACCCCATCTGTGTTTTACTCACTTCTCAAATTCACTCATGTTCATACAGTCCATACATCCAGTCAAAATATCTTATCCTTAGTGACCTTGAACTTGAGTTTAGGCCATGTCACACTCTGCATGATACCAACAATGTTTCACTAGAAAAAGACGCTATCGAATTTAAAGCTTCTCATCTAAACTCATCCAAATGACCTTTCATCAAGACCATAACACACACTGGTTAAGAAAAATCCCAATCTGTGAGTTATTGACTGGATAAGGTTAGCCATGTTCTTTCAGACCATAGATCGAGTCAAATAATTTATCAGGTTCCACACAATGAGTGAAGGATTCATTGTGAATGTTTTTGTCCAGTTTGGATATTGAACAAGACGTGTTTGTGAAACACATGCCCCGGTATTGCAGCTTATGGCAAAGGTTTAAGTTTCTCAAATCCGTATCCAATTCCAAGGTCAAAGTCAAGAGATAAGAAATTATGTTACCCAAAGAAAGATCTCGTCTCAGTGAATATAACTGTGAAATATGAAACCGCTATAAGACTAACTATTGAAAAGCATGACAAAGGTTAATTTTTTTTATACTCAAGTCAAATGTTAAGGTCAAGGATAGATTAACGGTGTCCAAAGGAATGCCTTGTCATAAGAAATAGACATTGAAATATGAAAGCCCTAGCATTAATTATTCAAAAGTTATGACAAAGGTCAACGTTTTTTTTTTCAAAAGTAGGTCAAACCCCAAGATCAAGGACAAAAGTCAAAACTGTCGGTACTCAAGGGAGGGTCTTGTCACAAGAAACACACATGTAAAAATACGAAAACCCTAACACCAACCGTTGAAAAGTTATGAATGAGATTAAAATGTTTCAAAGGTAGGTCAAACTCTAAGGTCAAAGGTAAAAAGTCAAAACTTTTAATTTTTTTAAAGTACGTCAAACTCCAAGGTCAAGGTCAAATAGTAAAAATTGTTGATATCCAATGAACAGCGTTTTCACAAGGAATACACCTGTGAATGTGAAAACACTAGTCCCAACCGTTCAAAAGGTATTGCCAAGGTTAGATTTTTTAAAAAGTGGGTCAAACTCAAAGGTGAACGTCACAAGGTCAAAAATATTTATTCCAAAGAAAAGGTCTTGTCACAAAGAATTTCGGATGTGAAGTATGAAAGCCCTAACGCCAACTGTTCAAAAGGCTAAATTTTGCATAGTTGGTCAAACTAAAAGGCTGTAGAAAGGATGAGAGAGACTCCGAGATATTCAATCAAGTAAACTTATGATATTGCAGATCAAATAAAGCATGAGCTATAAGAGCAGGCACGTAGCATCAGCCTCCCCCTTTTTTCAGACCTAATTTTTTACTTTAGTAATGTTCATTGAAAGTCCCGTTGGCCCCCACTTTTTGTTGCAGTATAGTCCCGTTGTCCCCACCCCTTTCCGCCAGGAAATAGGATTCTGGGCTATTTTCCTATTTTGGTTTTGCTTGTGAAGTCTTTTCAGGTAAGTTAATTTTTTTCTCTGGCTGCCCCCCCCCCCTTTTCAAAAACGATGCTATGTCCTTGAAAAGTAACATGTAGAAATGTCTGTCCTGGCATATGTTATAGTTTTATAATCTACAGCCTAACTTTGCACGTAAACCACAAACACATACGTGTAGTACAAAATAATGATAAAAATAGAAATAATCAGTAATATTTAATTATTAAGATAAAAAATGAAAATAATACAAAAAATTCTATATTACATATATAGAGAGATTGTCAATCAAATGGCATGTTCAACGCAATAGCAGCAATAAGAAACTCGCCGACAGTTTTTTTTTTTAATTCCAAATTGCTTTTTAATTTCTACAGATATTTATAATCCTTTCAATGTATGTTCGTGGATTATTGATGGAATAATTTTAGTTACATGTCAAGTTTAATATTATGGTGTTTGTGCTTTGTAGCAAGGATTTGCTAAATACTTATAATTTTCTATGATTGTACCGAAAAGTAGATACATGTTTTAAAGCAGAGCTGCCGCTCAAGCTTTATTTCTGTCGTGTAGATCTAGAGGTCTTTGTGTATATATCATAGGTAAAAGTACCAATACCGATGATCACATCCCTTCAAAGTTATATTATTCTTGTTTATTACGCCCCTTGCAGTGGCAGATCCAGGAATTTCATAACGGGGGGGGGGGGCAAAGTACAAGGCAGGGGAGGGGTCTGGGGGGGCTGCAATGAAGCCCCCAGAGGGTCTATAACAAAGCCCTGGTGGGGATCCAGGGGCGAAGCCCCCAGAAGTTGACAAATTCTTACAAATAAGAGATGTTTTTTCCTTGATTTAAGGATAATGGACATATAAGTTCTACATACAAAAAATTCAAACGGAAGGGGGGGGGGGGGTGCGCCCGGCGCGCCGGCCCTGGATCCGCCTTTGCTTTTTTTTTTATTTCATACATGTAGTTATGCACCTCACCAACCCTTCTTGTGTTCAAGATGTTTCAGTCGTTTGTTTGCATTATAACTTAACAAGAAGTCCGTGATTTTTTGTGTGAAGTTTAGTTTTTAAAATTCCGAAAATGTCAGGCTAAAAGGATATGTATTATTGAAAATAATGAAATTGGTAATCAAAGTTCAAAATACACGTGCGGTGGCGATATTCAAAATTGACAGGAAGTCGCTTGACTTTTTAATACACTTAAAGATGGTGTCAAGAGGAAAGAGTTTGAAAGGTTTGATAAATACACACATGCATCACAGAGTTGACCAATATGAATGCATTATGATCAGGTCACGTGGTAAGTACCTCTATCACAATAATTGACGCGTGGAGCACCTGCATTGATTTCTTATAATTAAGTTAAAAATTTATTTTTAAAAAAATGATGATATTAGTTAATAAAAGTTTATTATTTAAACTGTAATGGTTTGGGTCGTGGATATCGGCCTGGGTAGCTCAGTCGGTACAGCACCTGACTAGTGATGCAGGGGTCCCGAAGAAAATTAAAGAATATTTGTTAAAGGTACGTGTATAGTCAATCAGATTAGAAATACAGCGACTATCAGAATTCCGGGCCGTAAAAAAGATCTGATTTTGATTAGATCTCAGGTATAGGCGAATGTGTGTGTACTGAAGGGGTTAGTTAATTCATTCAAGATTTATTATATTGTTCGTTTGGACGAAGGCTTCATAAAAATATACACACTGCCTGTACAGGTACACTATACCGGTACACATCAATGAATGTTCGGATTAATTCAAAAATCGGCGGACATTAATTTATTTTAGTTATCTAAAGGCAATGTTATTTCCAGAGACATTTATATTTTCTGTTTTTTATGTCTCGGATTTTTCTTTTTTGTGATTTACCGGTTTACAAAGGCCTGTGTTTTAACAGCTGTTCATAAACGCTGTCAATTAATATACATGTATGATCAGAGAAAACGAGACATCTCCCGGTAATTCATTTCTTATGGAAAATATATGGATTGACATCTTAGCATTTACCTGTGTAATTACGATGTTACAAACCGTGACGATGACTGGCCAGGAGGACTACCCGTTATAAAAACAACTCATGATCAACTCAGCGGACCTATAATTCACTTTAATATATGCTGTAAATCAATAAAATCATTTCAGTGTAGTCGATATTTTATTGCAAAAATAATGAAAAAAAAAAAAAAAAAATACGGGATTTAGAATTTTTCTGTATTTCAAACTCTCGATATGCATATATTTGGGGCGCTCTTGCATATGCACTTATAAAACGTGCATGTTCTGTACTTGCATGCGTGTACATTGTACGTGTCCGTAAAACCTTAACAAAGCTGACAAATGTGTTCTGATTTTCAGAAAAAATAATGGGAACCTATAAATAATTACACGTTTATCATTTTGTTCGCATACAGTAACAAGTTAAGTAGAAAAAATAATTTGTTCAACATCGAGGTGCCCGCGGCTCTCTGTGGCCACGTGTATGTAAACGAGGACTGGACTACAACACTTAAGACACAAAGCGGCAGACATGGATGAAACTGTTTGCTATATTACAAAGACTTGAATTATACTACATGTATATTTGAAGGAATTTTTATTTATGTTAATGTTTATTTAATTCTAT